TAGGTATTTATCCGATTAGCTGAAGCATAAAACAAAGGAAAACTTTCAAAGACTTGATTGTGAATTTTTTTTTTTGCTTAAAGTTTTACAAGAAACAATGTTTTATCATCCAATAAAATTAAAGTTTACATACATTTTTCAAATGACTAAAATCTTTCACACTTGCCGAGGAATATAAGTTTTTCTCACATTTTCCTAATTATGAGATGATGAAATTAATATTGTATACTTATGTAAAAGTGCTTGACTGTCATGTATTTGGGAATGTCCATTGTGCCAGAGTATTGTAATCAGGTTTGCAGGTACTTCCGGCAATCTAGGGTAGTTGATATGCAGAAAAAGGCTTTTTATTTATTTTTTTATATTAAAGTTTTTTAATGTTCATTTATCTGAGAGAGAGAGAGAGAGAGAGAGCAAGTGGGGGAGGGGCAGAGAGAGACAGAGACACAAAATCCAAAGCGGGCTCCAGACTCTGAGCTGTCAGCACAGAGCCCAACGCAGGGCTTCAACTCACGAACTGTGAGATCATGACCTGAGCTGAAGTTGGACACTTAACTGACTGAACCACCCAGGCACCGCAGAAAAAGACTTTTTAGAATACAACTTGCAATTCTTTCAAATGTAGCTATTTCTTGGTGTGTGCCATTAATAATTCTTTTCTCCAAATTTTATTTTTTATTATTTATTTAGTTTTTTAAAGTTTATATATTTATTTATTTATTATTTTTTTTTACAAATAGTTTATTGTCAAATTAGTTTCCACATAACACCCAGTGCTCATCCCCACAAGTGCCCTCCTCCATGCCCCTCCCCCCTCCCCCCACATCCATCAGTCCTCAGTTTTTGTCAGCATTCAAGAGTCTCTTATGGTTTGCCTCTCTCCCTTTCCCCCACCATTTTCCCCCTTCTTCTCCCCCTTGTTCCTCAGTTAAGTTCCTCCTAATCCTCCTATACGTGCAAACATATGATATTTGTCCTTCTCTGCCTGACTTATTTCGCTCAGCATAACACCCTCAAGGTCCATCCATGTTGCTACACATGGCCAGATTTCATTGTTTCTCATTGCCATGTAGTATTCCATGGTTAAAGTTTATATATTTATTTTGAGAGTAAGTGTGTGCACAATCAGGAAAGGGACAGAGAAAGAGAGGGAGAGAGAATCCCAAGCAGGTTCCATACTGTCAGTGGCGGGCCTGTCACAGGGCTCAAACTCATGAGCCTTGAGATCATGACCTGAGCCAAAATCAAGAGTCTGATGCTTAATCGACTGAGCCATGCAGACACCCCTTTCCTCAAAATTTTAATCCTTTCTGATCTGCATAGAATTATATGTGACTATACATTTTCCAAGGAATTAGAAATTTTTTATTTAGTAGTATAAGGCATTAGCTGAGACAAATTAGGTTTCAAGTCAAAAAGATTAATCACTTGGTTGATAGCTAATATATTCCAGCCTCTCGGAAAGAACTAACATATTTCCCATGAGCTAAACCAGTCATAATGTATCTGATTTCTTATTATTGCCAGTTTTCACTTTTCATAGTAGAATGAATTAAAAAACAAAAACATCACTTAAAAGTTTTATGCTTCTGATTTTAAAAGTAACACATACTCCTTATGAGACATTAGGAAAACCCGGAAATGCATAATAATAAAAAAAATCGGAAGATAATTTCTACATTCTCTTATACCTTCCTCTATTTTTATTTCTGTCAACATAAACATATATTTTAATCAAAATTGGTATTATACTATAAATTAGCCTTGATTCTTTCTCTGAACAATATATTATTAATCTCTTTAGTTAATCATGTGTTCAGTTTTGTGCAAGTGTAAATAAAACAGGGATGCATGTCTTGTGCCTTCATGAAGCATACTGTCTAAGTGAGGGGACCCTGAAACAAATAAAAGTATAATTGCAAAATAGAAGTTTTATGAAAGAATAAGCAGGTGCTATGAAGGAGAATAATTTTAGTGGTAGGGGACCAACATTAGCATATTTAGAGCCAGAATGCTGACATTTAAATAGAGGCTTAAAGGATGAAAAAAGTCAATCATGCAAGAGTGGGGTTAAGAGAATACTCGGAAGAAGAAATAACAGGTGTAAAGGCTATAGCAGGGAAAGGAGTTGGCGAGTAGAGGGATCTAAAAGAAGGCCAACAGGCTTGGATGAAGAGGGGAGGAGATACTGGCTCATGATGAAGTTCAAGAGGCAGACAGGGGTCAGTCCTACAGACAAAAGAGAAGAGGTTTAATTAGAAGCATTATGGGAAGCCATGGAAGACTTTCTGGGTGGTGAAATTGCATGACTGTGCTTACATTTTTTCAAAAGATTATTTTGGATGTCATCTCAAGGAAGAATTGGAAGGAGAGCAAGAGTTCACGAAGATGTGAGTTAGGAGGCCATGGAGGTGGTCCATGAGAAAGATGAAAAGCTGGAATTAAGCTGTTGACAGGAGATATGGAGAGAAGTAGACAGCTGTGAGGTGTCTTTTGGGGTTGATATTGACAGCTTATGAGTTGGTGAAGAGTAGGAGTCAGTGGGTTAAAGAGATGGAGTTAAGAAGAATGGCTCCCATTTATGGCCTGAGGAACCAAGTGGATGATGATATCATTTATTGACAAGGGGTAGATTTGGTAAGGACCAAGATTGAGGTGTTGGTTGTGATAGAAAATAAGTATTTAAAGTCAGGTGATAATTCTGAGGGGCCTTTTAGACAAGCACATGATTAAGCCAAGAAGGCAGCTGTGTGCATGAGTGTACTCAGAAGTGAGTCTGGGCTGATGCTTACATTTGAAAGTTATCATCATGGGATTTAAAGACAAAGGAGCAGATAAAATAATCTAAGAGAAGAGTGAAGAAAGACAAATATAGAGGGCCTAGAAGTGTGCTCTGACAATGAGAGATTGCATGCCTGAGAATCTAGGAAGGGCAGAGAAATGGGAGTGTGGTGTCAAAAGCTAGAAAAGACTGCTTCAGAAAGGGAAGTGTGGACAGCCATGTCCCATGGTGCTAGCAATCTAGTGCAAGAAGGGTCAGAGTGACCGCTAGGTTTTGCAACGTGAAGGTTACTGGTGAGGTCGTCAGAAGCAATTTCAGTGCTTTGTATCAGAAGATATATTGTAATAAATGTCCATAATATATAGATGATTCGCTAAAATTTTAATGGCTGCATATAAATATTCACTTGAGATAGCAGAATGTATGCAGCTACCCATAATGCTGACAAGCCACTAGTCCCTAGGAAACAGGCTTGTGGGATGTTTTAATGGCTCAGGCCCTGAGAAATCGTTGGCTTGCGGCTCAGTGGGCTCACACTTGGTGATTTCACTCTGTTTTCTTCCCTCTGAGTGTGAGTTTGAGTTAAAATCCACGAGAGGGTTTGGGTGCTAAGGAATGGATACTGAGTGAGTTTCTATTAGAGTGTGGTGCATCTGCTGGTTTGGTGCTCTCTTTGGGGAGCTTCAGGCAGTAGAAAGGCTGGGAGGGCCCAGAGTGTGTCTGGTTCAGACTTAACACTTCTTGACATCTGTACTCCCCTCATGGGGTGCAAGGGCACTGCCGGCTCATGGTTATTTGGTACATGTTCTTATTCCCACTTTCTAAAAATTAGAAAATGCTGGAGAGGCTCATTGTTGGATCTTCTCGGGGCATCACAGGTTTTATTCTGAAATAGAAGAGAGTCTTAGAAAGAATGTGGGTATTGTAGCCAAAGTAAATATAGATTTTGTAGCCGAGAGTTGGGACCCTTTGCCTCAATGTTATAAAATGGGCTAATAATACCTACCTTTCATGGTTAAAGTGATGTATAAAAAGTACATGGAACAAAGTAAATAATAAATGGTGGGTGTTATTATTCTTGTTCAAAGTAAATGTTCAATATTTTGGATATATTGAATTAGTTATCTGAGTTGTGGTTTATCTGTATGATATTGGTCCACAGTATAAAACATTTTCGGATACATAAGCCTCTGCAAATTAGTTCTTTTTGGGATAATTAGTTAGCAATAGCCATAGTAAATCCTTTGTCATCAATATTTTGTACCATAGTTTTATTATCAAAATTTATGTAAACATGACTTTCACTTTTTACTGGATTAGCACAGTTCTCTTATTCCTATTAAAGGATAGTATTTCCATGAACTTTAATAAAAATTGGTTCTCTGATAAGATGGCATGCATAATGCTGTTCACAAAGGTTAAAATTCCCTTATTAGAATTCCACGGGAGCAAGACGGAAAGAATGTAAGCCAAATACAAAAAAAGACATGTAAAATTTGTGTTTCTGCTCTGTCTTTGGAAGCAGAGTCTGGTGGCCTTCCTTCACGGTGAGAGCAAGGACTAGAAAGTGTCTTTTCTTGTTTTCCACTTACGCTAAGATGGAGAGACTTATTTTGTTTAAGCAAAAATGTAATTCACTAGCTTAAAATATGTAAGTATCATAGGTCCCCATCTGGCTGTCTAGATACCATAAGAATTAAAGCAAAGCAAAGCAAAAAAAATGATTTAAATGTATATTAGATTCTAAGAAAGGTCTCCCCAAAACATGGCCAATGAACTGTTTTGTGTGCAAGACTTCTTTATTATGAAAACTCATACCCCTCTAATTGTAAGAATATATGTTGCTTGGCCTAGTTTTATACTAGCTTAGGAAACTAATCTGTGTACATTAAAATTTAAGGGGGAAATAACTTCTTTTGACTAGAATGAGATTTGGTTTTCGAGGGGAGATGGTGTTACAGCTTGTTATATGAATTTTCAGAAGCTGCTTTTCTAATAATGTGAATGAACTCAGTGCTCATTTTCTGATTTCCTTGAGTGACTAAGAGGGAATGATTTTGTCTCTAAAAACTTTTCTGGAGGGCTTTATTTTATCAAGTTACTGGGATATTTTTTTACTTATGTTTTCAAGGAACTGTATTAATGTAAAGTAGTATACTTTAGTAATCATGCAAGACTTGATTTTAACCTCTCTCTCTCTCTCTCTTTTTCTCTATAGTTTGGAAGGACTGAAGTAATTGATAATACTTTAAATCCTGATTTTGTAAGAAAATTTATCCTGGACTACTTTTTTGAGGAAAGGGAGAACCTTCGCTTTGACTTGTAAGTTCTGGAATAACTTGCATTAAAAAAAAATTAATTGTCAAAGGCAAGTTGTGTAACATAATGCTGGGTCTGGTTGTGCTGAATACTAGATTATACTGGCAGGACACCAGATTAATTCTATTTAGACTGTGTCCTAAACACTGTCCCTAGCATTGCCTTACATTTTATAGGCTTTTGGCTCTATATTTATCGAAAAAAATTAGTGAACAATTTAACCAGCAGAAATGCTGCCTGGTATATATGGACATTCTTTCAAACCATTTTAAACCTTAGTGATTTCTTTACAAGCTCCTCATATATTCCAAGGTGATCTCATTTACTCCCATATGCAATATAATAATGTGCAATATAGTAATGTTCTCCAGATCTTTATTTCTCTCAGCTTTCTTTGTGTAGTATATGGATATCTCTGCCTAACTGTGGCTTCCTTTTCTCCCTTCGTGGCCTCATATTTCCAAGACACAGGATTATAGAGCCAGACTGCTTGATATTTTTAATATTCTTGTTATTTCGATACTAAATTAAGCACACCAAAATATTATTGTCAGATTCAACTTCTTGTCTGCATTGAATTTGGAGTCAGTTTGTAAGCTATTATTCGTTATCAAGTTTTTGTTTCACAGAGGTAAATTGTGGTGATTGTTGAAACATCTGGATAGTGTTAAAAGAAAACCTATTGAGAGGGAAAAGTATAACATATTAGAGCATGTACTTAATAAATTAAAATTTATTTTAATTTATAAAAGTTTATGAACACTACAAGTGTTTAAAAATATAAATGTCTTACTTTAAATAGCTGGGAACAATAAAATGTACCAGGCTGTCACAATTTATAAATTTTTTTGATGGAAGCTATCATATCTTATTGGAAAAAGTCATAAATTGCTTCCTAGTGTAAAAAGAAAGTTATCTACAATTAACAATCTTTTTTGTTTTTCCCCAAAATGTGTGCAGTAAAATAATCCACCATGCTCTGTTTAAAAAGGGAGATTTTTATGCCAGCCCTTTCCTTCAAGAGTTATAGGAGTTCTAAGTATTCCTTATATTTATCAAACAAAATTTATTATGCCCCATTTGGTTTTATTTTATTGAAACCCCTTCTCAAATAATAAAAATGATACTTAGGAGAACAATTGGAATGTACAGTTTACTGACCATGTTTATCATGGAGATTACTCACAGTGATGTTATTTAAAAACGACATATAGGGGCGCCTGGGTGGCTTAGTCGGTTAAGCGTCCAACTTTCACTTAGGTCATGATCTCGCAGTTCGTGGGTTCGAGCCCTGCGTCGGGCTCTGTGCTGACTGCCAGCTCAGAGCCTGGAGCCTGTTTCAGTCTGTGACTCCCTCTCTCTCTGACCCTCCCCTGCTCACGCTGTCTCTCTCTCTCTCTCTCTTAGAAATAAATAAAAATATTAAAAACAAAAACAAAAACAAAAAAATGACATATTGTTTTTAAGAACTCTCTTTCATAAAACAGTGTGGTACTCCCCTAATTTTTTTGCTCCTGGTTTTAGACTTAACTTTATCCTAAAACTAGCCATTATTTCATGATTCTTGTTCTCTTTATTTCCCTTTCTCTCTCTCTTTCTTATTCATTTATACTGTTTTCTCTATATATTTAAAAATATTAAATATTTATTATTTACTTTAAATAAGTAGGCATTTAAAAGTGAAAGTTTCAGACACCTGGGTGGCTCAGTTGGTTAAGCCTCGAACTTTGGCTCAGGTCATGATCTCATGGTTTCTGAATTCGAGTTCCATGTCAGGCTCTGTGCTGACAGCTCAGACCCTGGAGCCTGCTTCCGATTCTGTGTCTCCCTTTCTCTCTCTCTGCTCCTCCCCTGCTCGCACTCTGTGTGTCTCTCTCTTTCTCAAAATAAATAAACACAAAACTTTCTAAGTGAAAGTTTCTTGTTATTCCAATACCAAAAAACAAAACACAGTTCACAAATAACCAAAAATGTACATGACTCAATGTATATTCTTCCAGGGTTTTTTTTTTTTTTAAAGATAAACAAGCATATGAGAATCTCTGTATTTTGAAAATCATAAATATTTTCCTATTACTTGCATTTTCAGATACCTTTATATATATATATATATATATTTCATTCATTTTATGCTGCATAATTTTCATTGAAAAAAAAAAACACTATTTGGCCAAACACGTTTTTTTAATTTCTGAGAGACAGACAGACAGACAGACAGACAGACAGACAGACAGCGTGAGCAGGGGAGGGTCAGAGAGAGAGGGAGACACAGAATCCGAAGCAGGTTCCAGGCTCTGAGCTAGCTGTCAGCACCCAGGGGCTTGAACCCACCAACCATGAGATCATGACCTGAGCCAAAGTCGGATGTCCGGCTGAGCCACCCAGGCGCGCCTAGCCAAACATTTACTGATGGACATTTTGTCTGGTTCTATGTTTACTATTACATATAATCCTGCAGTGAGTATCATCTTATGTAAATTTCTTATATTTTTTTTTTCATTTTCAGAAATGAAAAGATATAGACAGGAGTACTCACTCTTCATGCTAATCTTTGAGGCCAACTTAGAAATCTTTTTTATGTTAATTTTTTAATGTTTACTTTTGAGAGACAAAGAGACAGAGTGTGAGTAGAAGAAGGTCAGAGACAGGGAGACAAAGAATTCAAAACAGGCTCCAGTTTCTGAGCTGTCAGAACAGAGCGTGAAGCGGGGCTTGAACTCAGGATCTGTGAGATCATGACCTTAGCTGAAGTCGGAAACTTAACAAACTGAGCCACCCAAGTGCCCCCAAATTAGATATCTTAAACATGTTTTTTTTTAAGTTTTTATTTTAATTTGTGTTAGTTAACATACAGCGTTATATTAGTTTCAGGTGTTAGGTGAACGTGATAACCACTATGCTATGGAAACTCACTTATATTAGTTTCAGGTGTGCACTATAGTAATTCAACACTTTCATACATCACTCTGTGCTCACCCAACAGGTGCATTCCTTAATTCCTATCACCTACTTCAACCAACCCATCACCCACCTCCCGTCTGGTGACCATCATTTTATTCTCTATAATTAAGAGTCTGTTTCTTAATTTCTCGGTCTGTCTCATTGTTTTCCTTTTGTTTTATTCCTTAAACTCTACATATGAGTTAATTCACATGGTAGTTATCTTTTTCTGACTGGTTATTTCACCTAGCATTGTACTTTCTAACTCCGGCGATGTCATTGCAAATGGCAAGATTTCATTCTTTTTGATGGCTGAGTAGTATTCCATTGTATACATATACCACATCTTCTTTAACCATGCATCAGTTGATGGACACAAGGGCTACTTCCATATTTTGAGTATTGTAAATAATGCTGCTATAAACATAGGGTGCACATGTCCCTCTAAGTTAGTATTCTTGTATTTGGGTAAATACCCAGTGTTGCAATTGCTGGATCATAAAGTAGTTCTATTTTTAACTTTTCTATACTGTTTTCCATAGTGGGTACACCAGTTTGCATTCCCACCAACAGTGTAAGAGGGTTCCTTATTCTCTGTATCCTCATCAACTCCTTTTGTTTCTTGTGTTTTTTATGATTTTAGCCTCTCTGACTGGACGAGGTGGTATCTCATTGTAGTTTTGATTGTATTTCCCTGATGATGAGTGACATTGAGCATCTTTTCATGTGTCTCTTGGCCATCTGTATGTCATCTTTGGAGAAATAACTGTTCATGTCATTCTGCCCATTTTTAAATTGAATTATTTGTTTTTTGCGTGTTGAATTGGTAAGTTCTTTATATATTTTGGATACTAACCCTTTATTGAATATGTAATTTGCAAATATCTTCTCTCATTCTTTAGGTTGCCTTTTAATTTTATTATTTCCTTTGTTGTGCAGAAGCTTTTTATTTTGGTGTAGTCCCCATAGTTAATTTTTGGTTTTGTTTCCCTTGCCTTAGGAGACATATCTAAAAAGAAGTTGCTACGGCTGATGTCAAAGAAGTTACTGCCTATGTTTTCTTCTAGGATTTTTATGGTTTCAGATTTCACAGTTTGGTCTTTCATTCATTTTGCATTTATTTTTGTGTATGGTGTAAGAAAGTGACCCAGTGTCATAAGTTTACATGTTGCTGTTTTCCCAACACTGTTTGTCTTTTTCCCATTCAATATTTTTCCAGAATTGTCAAAGATTAATTGATCATCTAATGCTGGGTTTATTTCTGGGTTTTCTATTCTGTTCTATTGATCTATGTGTCTATTTTGTGCCAACAATAAACTATTTTTGATCACTACTGCTTTCCTAATATAACTTGAAGTCCAGAATTGCTCTCCTTTTCCTTTTCAAGATTGCTTTGACTATTCGGGGTGTTTCATGGTTCCATACAAATTTTCGGATTCTTTGTTTTAATTCTGTGAAAAATTCTGTTGGTATTTTGATGGGGATTGCACTAAATCTGTAGATTGCTTTGGGTAGCAAAAAAATTAACTCTTTTAATCCATGAGTATGAAATATCTTTCCATTTCTTTGTTTCGTCTTGAATTTCTTACATCAGTGTTTTATAGTTTTCAGAGTAAAGGTCTTTCACCTCTTTCATTAGGTTTATTCCTAGGTATCTTATTATTTTTGGTGCAATTGTGAATGGGAATGTTTTCTTAATTTCTTTTTTGGCCACCTCACTTAGTCTATAGAAATGCAACAGATTTCTGTACATTGATTTTGTGTCCTGCGACTTTACTGAATTCGTTCATCAGTTCTAGCACTTTTTTGGTGAAGTCTTTCAGGTTTTCTATATACAGTATCATTACATCTGCAGATAGTGAAAGTTTCACTTCTTCCTTACCAATTAGGGTGCCTTTTATTTCTTTTTGTTCCCTGTTTTTATGGCTAGGACTTCCAGTACTGTATTGAATAATAGTGGTGAGAGTGGGCATCCCTGTCTTGTTCCTGACCGTAGGGGAAAAACTGAGAGATTTTCCCCATTAAGGATGATCTTAGCTGTGGGGTTTTCATATATGGCCTTT